TAGTGCATAAGACTTACAGACAGTGGTTATAGCCAACCATAACACATTGAAGAGAATTGCCAGGGATCCTTTCACTAGATAGGAATATTTAATTTGCCTTTATCGGTGCAAATTAAGAATATAGAATAAAATATAGAAGCACTAGTATCTCTCTTTATCACTTGCAGTTCAAGCAGTTTCAAAATTACTTGAACTACTGCAGGTTTTCAAGTGCACTGCACAACCTCTGCATAGCTTTTGGATCTCTATGGAATTAGAAATGACTTTAGTGCTCTAACAGCACTGATATTTCTCCACGGTAGCAGACACACTGACAGGCTTTTCAAATAGTCTCTGAGGATATGAATGCTTAGTCTAGCTCTTAGCACAAGGACATTCATACACTGATCAAGGGAGGCTTTCTGACCCACCCAATAGATATTCAGAGCTCCCTCAGACCTGCCTGTTCATACAGAGAATGAAAGGAGGGCACCACGCTGGGATAATAACTCCTTGTTGAGGCTCCAGAGCTCTTTGCTGCTGCTGCTGCATTCTTCTCTTCTGGTCAGAACTGGAGATAGGGTGAATTTGCATAGCTTCACAGCAGCTAGGAGTGATTTATAGTAACTGAGGGCTGTCACATAGTAACTGAGGGCTGTCACAGGCATGGACAAGTAAAAGAAAAGAGCTGCAACAACAATCAAAAAAGAAATAATGCTCTATCAATGAGACAAAGGCAGATGGTTCCTCTGCAAAATGTCCCTCTGCCAAGTGTGCAAGACAGGGAGAGGATTTGAAGGGGCAGTGAGGGCAGAGAGACAAAAATGCAAAGCAAAGTGTTCTCCAATCAGCTTAAATTAAAACAAAACCAAAACAAATGAAAAAAAAAAAAAAAAAAAAAGAGGTGAGGGGGAGAGAAAGTGAAGAGGCAGATAATGCCTTAATTGCATCTGTTCAAATGCTTGTGTGAAGCCAAAGTGAATCAGCATTGCAGCAAAGACAGGCAGCAAACTAAATCTTCCTGGATGTTCCAGGCTCCAGCATCCTGCCCTTGGCACTCCTCACAGCCCACGTGTCAAGCAGCTTCACCCTGACAAGCAGGTTGGTTTCACAGGTTACATCAGGCTGAAAGGCTTGCAGCAGGAGCTGTAGAGCACACACCTCGCCTAGTGACCTGCAGTGGTAGCAGAAAGGCTGAGTCATTCCAAGGAATTCATTTTCAACTCAGCAAAGCTCACACTTGGCTTTGGGCAGGCAGGGAAGGCTCATATGCTCTGGTACACGCTTGCTTATTGCAAAGGGCTTTAGTTTAACAGTGCAGGTGACAAAAGTTAAAGGGCTCAGCTGATTCACTGCTTTTAAGGATTTTGGTATTGTTTTTACTGTGTACTCACTGCTGACTGGCTTGTGGTGACATGAGCACGGTGTAAGTGCTTTGTTGGATAGAATGAAAAGCACCTGCTCCCACTGCGACTAAATGGGCAGTGCCATCTCCAGCTCAGCTTCCTACCTCAGTTGTCTCCTAGGCAGATCASCCAATTTTATTCCTCTATTTCCCTRGTGTTCAAGATCTCTTGTCTTACTGTCTGCACAAATTGCTTTACTTCACCAGCTATTAAACTATTGATTATTCACTAATTTCTCAGCCATCCTAACACACAGCTAGAGCACAGCCCTCTACTTTGCCCTTGGTCTGCAATTACCTTCACTGTAGTTCTGCTATCTCTTCCTTCTCTGCTTTCTCTCTTTTCTAGCATACCCCATTGCACAGGTACCACCAGCTCTACTTCTAAACATCCTTCTATCTTGTGATAAATGCTGTGTCCTCAGCTAACCCTTCCCATTTGCTCCCAGTMAAGTTGTATTTCAGTCTTTTACAACTCTGCATCTTCATATCAGCTCCATTGCCTGGTGTTTTCCTCCAGTGTCTACATAGCCAAGCCATGTCCGCATGTTCTGTGATTCTGTGAGGCTCCCTTGCACCCCTTTCTCCAGCTCCTGTTGTGCTGCTTTGCTGAGATGGTAGGTATTGACCTATTGCTTTTCCCAGGCTGTTCCATCTTGCTCACCTCTCCCATTTAAAACTGCAGTCTCTTTGGGGCAGGGGCCATCTTTGGTTACACACTTTTACAGCCCTTCAGAGCAGATTTAGGAACAGAACAAAACAAATAACAGGCTTTCTACCATTCTTTATAGTTTACTGTGATCCAAGCCACAGTATCAAGTTCTTGCTTGGAAGTCTTACACGGTTCTATATAGAGAAGAACATTTTCCTTTACTAGAATAAGCAATGACCTCATTCCTATGCATGCTGTTCACAGGGGAACGCACAAAGCCTGTCCTACTACATTTCTACATCATCTTATAGAAAGACTTCTGTCTAAACTTTGGTGAGTATTAGAGAAAAATTGCATTGCCATGACCCAAGGGAAAAATGAATTATTCATCCTCTTATCTGTTTCAGGATTGTTTTCTGAAAAACATATGTTTTAATATTCATGTGATTTTTAGGCACACCATGCTGCAAACACAAGTGTACGTGAAAGGTTCATATAATTTCTCAGCATAGCCCAGAGGATTCATTAGTGCAATATTCCAGCTCACATTGACCAGATTTCAAGTAAGGAGTGAGGGATGAAAAACAAGATGATTAGGCATGTACAAAGAAAAGAGGAGAGTTTTCTGAAAATCAGAATAATTCACAGAGGAAGCTTCCTCTGTTGACAAATGCAGCAATATATTGACACTGTCAGGCTTGTCAGGACAAATCAGAGGCCAGAGGAACATACATGGAGTCCCCATATTCTCCAACAACACTGAATTAAGCACTTATAAACCTGCACCTGCTTATTATTTCAGACTAGAGCTGATCCTTCCCTTAGCTGGCTCTATGAGAGTGGCCGTGTTGCGGTCTGGGGTCTCCTCTAGAGCTCCTGCAGGAATTGCCTGCAATTTGTAAGCCCCAAGTAGTGGAAATCGGTGCTGTTAACTGCCTCTGTGCAAAGGTCAAAGCCACACATCACTTTACAACACAAACAGATCAGCAAAGGACATGTTAGAAGACAACCAAACCCCCTGAAGGACAGGGTTGAGAATGATGTCAACTGCATTAAAGCAAACAGCACACGCTCCACACTACCGCTAATCCTTAGGGTCAGAAGCAGCAGATCTCTATTCATTACTCCCAAGTATTAGCACCCTGTTCACAGATCTCCTATTCCACCTACCAGCAGTTATTTCAACTGGGAATATCCTAAAAATCCTCTATTAGCAGCAAACCACTCCAGCCAGCACCACTAAATCACCATTATCCAGAGTGTGTATTCCTCACCACACAGTGGCAGGTATGAGCACTTTTAAAAGTTGCTCTTCAACYAACCAAGTCAAGGGCCTAACACCCTTAAATGACAGACAATCTGCCAGTCCAGCTCTGCTGCTGCAGGAAACAGCTGGATGCAMCTGAAGTGCAGCTGGGGCTTGAGACACAACCCGCACTCTGTGCTGCGCAGGGCAGGGGGCAACACGGGTCCTGGGCAGAGCTTCACAAAAGCCTCTTGCAGAGGGGACTGCAGGGGAAGCAAAGCAACAAGGCCAGGGGAAGGTCTGCAGAATTAAATAACCAGCCTGAATCTTCTCCGCTATTCTGCCCTCTGTGGTGAGTATTAAAATGGGTTCTGCATTCTTATTTTCTTCTGCTGGGGAAGGGCAGCATCCAGTTTCTCCCAGCTTACAATACTATATTAATATTTATGATATTTATATAATGCTTATTTATAATAAATAGCTTGAATTTATAAACACTACTTTTTAAAGCAGAGTTCAGGCTCTCATTATGGCAAGTAGTCACACAACCCAGAGATGGGGAGAGGAAGAGTCAAAGCCAGAGACCCTCTCCCAGCAGCACAGAGCCATTCTGACATGCGACAGGGACCTACTTTGACCCAGACATTAAAAGAAGTTTAAGAGTGAGGATGTTCCAGGCACAAGCCGAACACCAAGCAGACAATAAAATAAAATTCCTCGGCACTGACTTGAAGGGTCTCAAAGGGAAAAGGAAGTTTCATGTTTAGCTTTGCTAAATCCTTCACCCTGCAAGCTAGAARGAAACAGTCCCTCCAAGCAGCTATATCATACGAACACAATCTGACAAAGAGCCAGATAACATTTTCTGATGTGAAGTTGACACCTTGAGACAAGGCATAATGACTGAGAAGATCACACCAGTAAAGTGGTAACAGGTACCTCACTACCCCCAACCATTAATTCCAATGCAAAATATTAAAAATAAACCAGTGCAAAGCTCCAGAGGATTTAAGGACAATGAAGCCTGAAAAGACAGAGAAATTGAAGTCAAACAGTAGGGAATTGAAAGGCAGTGAGAGACTTTAGCTCTGAAATAATAAAAAAGAAAAGATGTYCCCAAAACATTGCTTGAAATATAGTTTAGAGGCTTCAGGATCAAAGGAAAGAAATCCTTTATGCATTATAAATAATTGCTTTCCAATCCATCTTATTAAGCATGCAAAATTTTCTTTTATTTTCATGCAAAATATGCAACATTTAGTATTTCCGAAGTCACCAAAGATGACCAGTTATCTCAGCATCCCCACAGGTTTGCTGATGAATGCAGCAGGGTAGYTGAGCCCCCGTAGAGAAGTCTTCCCTCACTCCCCCCAAATAAGTTCCATCTCATTTTTGAAGATGTGAAATGAAAGCCCCAGGACCCCAAGAAGCTTTTTCTTCAGTAAATTCAATCTGTAAGTAATGGTCAAAGCCATAAGGAGAGAGAAGCAACATGATCACAGGTGCATTTATCATTGAAACTCCAGAAGCATTTCAACAGTKCTTGGAATAAGCTCAGAGTAGTTTTCAGACCATAGAAACACCACAAATTTTACATCTCCTTTTATTTGACCAATTAAAGCTCATCATCTTCCATCTGTATGACTGCATATCTCAAAAATAAAACCCACAGTGCTTCCATTTAGAATGACATAATTTATTCATATAATTCACAAGTAGTTGGACACTACTGAAAATTCAATTTCAATATGCAAGTGATTTACACAAACATATAATACTAAAATTGATTGTTTCGAAGGTAAAAAATACCATGGGTATGAAATGCCATGGTAGATGCTGTTCAATATACTACACAATCTTAGTGTCAGACATTTACACATTTATATACTTTTTTTCTCCTTTTAAAGTAGTCTGGGAAATTCAGGTGTTTATTGTCTCTAAACCTTCCAATCAGTTATGTCTTTGACTTCTTAGGAACTGAGCTGACAACCAAAGCAACATTTTTAATATTTGAGGGGAAAAAAAAAAGAAAAYTGCTCCCCTGAATTCACCAAGCACGACATGATCAAATCATGTTGCCTTCCAGTATGTGACAAATGCAAACCCCTGTAGATCCAAAAGAACGTGCAGGAACAGAGACTGAGCTTGGTGGTGGTGGTGGTGATGGTGATAGCCTGATACAATTTTTGGCCCCTGCCAGTAYCCAGGTTTGAGTAGTTGCCCTTCAATGAACATATCAGCATTGCCAGATCATTTGGTGCTCATGCAGCTGTGCAGTCAGATTGTAATTGTGCATAAAGTCTTTGCACTGAAGCCTGTATCTCATGAGCCTCAAATGCTGCACTAAGCATATATGGCTGCACAGACAAAATTGGATGCTAATGTGTTGTGTTTGTCTGCATCAGATGCAATTATACACATTATCTTCTAGAGGATCTCCGAACATGTACTTTGCTTGAAATGCCAGGAGTTATCTTAAAACATAAGAAGTTAAAAAGCTTTCACAATACAAGATCCAGCTAATTATTCCACATATACAAAAACACAGCTAGAGAAATACAATTCGATTCTTCAATGCTGAATTATGGGGAAAGTCTAAAAAAATAGAAAAAACTCTGATATCTGGACATTAATTCAGAATGTAACACTGCATAATGCCGCAATATGAGCACCCATTTAAAATGAGAAATCCCCAGCAAGAGAAGCAGAGGGGGATCTAGTATATATGACAAAAACTGATGAATACTGCACCAAAAACATGCATACAATCGCCATGGTCGTTCATTATTCCAGTGATGGTCTAAACAGTGATCTAACACAAGAGTGAGGCAGTGTTTCCAAAGGGGAAAAAAAAAAAAAGTGAAGAACTACATATTGATTAAGCTTTCTGATGCAGCAAAGTGAGGGCACAGAGCCATGTCTGGGTTCTGGAGCTGTTTCAAGATTCGCTTGTGAAATTTCTCCCTGACACGATTGAACTCCATTATGTCCAGCGGGTCCTCTTCAATCCAGAACTTGTGGAATTCATGCATTAAGTAGCCTACAAAAGGGAGAAAGAGAGTATGTGAAGATGTTATATAAAGAAACCTGTAATTAAGGACTACAATGTACAGAGAGCACTGTTTCCCAAACTCTGACACTTAATGAAGCTACAGAGGTCACATCCAACACCTCTGGGACCTCCACTGCAACTCTGCATAGCAACTACCTTAAAGCAAAAGGAATGGTGAGGGTTCATTGCAATAGTGGTGGCATTCCCAGCAGGCACCAAGCTACCAGCCAACCGCTGCTGGTAGCATTTCAGGGAATCAGCTAAATGTATGCTGAAAAAGGCTGACTTGACTCTGGATTATTCCCAACACCACATTTTAGAGAAGCCTTTTACAGAAAATTCACCCACCAGCAGATCTTAGAGATAATTAATACACTAGTAGAACTTCTCCCAGTAAATACTAGAGATCAGTAGGTGGGATGCTGAAGTGTCGATTTGATTGAATGATGCACGCACTACACATTACACTAATCAGTTATAAGAGCAGGGAAAGATGCTACTGAGATTTGAAATAGCTTTTTTTCTTCTCACATATTTCAGCATAAGACTAGCACTTCCCGACAAAAACAGTCAACTGGTAAGTAACTTAACAGTGCCACATTTTTCTGTATTAATACCTTATCCTCAAAGGAAGTTATTTAGTTGCATGTCCATGAACTTGCAAGAAACTTGGTTTAACATTTACTCCTAAGATCCTAGAAAGGCCAATAAGATGATAAGAAGCACCATCTGATTTTGATAAAATACTTCTGTATTAGAAAGAAAACTAGTCATGAAGTGGATTGAATAGACAGGCTTTGATTAAGACCTCTTAAATTCTGTGCCATCTCTGCACTGAAGGGAACCACTGAGGAAAGAAAGGGTTCCATCCATCCCTAGGGCTTCAGAGAACTGGACACAACCTCTCAATCCTAACTCTCGCAGCAGACACCCTACAGAGCCTGATCTTCCTCCTCAAAACAGCAAAGTGCTAAGGCAAATCTGTAGGGAGAAGSATCTGTTGTGAAGCGGGATTGCTTCCATTTATTTCTATTGTATCACAGTTACAAGTATATTTTCAAACCTCTTTCAAATATTTCAAGACTCAGAAGCTATTTCATCCCAAGAGATGTTTCATTCACACGGCAGCTCAATGAAAGCCCTCCAAAGTTACTGTAACAGGTAAAACATTACCTTTACATTTAAATAAATAAATAAATAAATCTGGGACTTGAGCAGTTGCTGTGCTCAGTGTGCTCTGGAGCTGTATAGCTCAGAGCCCTGCCTGTACCATCAGAAAGCAACAGACCTCAAGAACACTCAAGAGCTCGTCAGACTCGAAAGATGCTTTCTAGAAAAAAGCATCCTTCCTCTTTTGTTTCTTATTACTTACTTTTTCTTGTTATTTAAAACAAGTTGAGGTATAGAGAAAGGTCATTTTAGTTTGGGTCAATCTGTTTATTTTTGCTATTGTTTCACTTCTTGGTTTGGATGTGGTATACAGCACACGTGAAAACTGGATCCTAGTTTTCTAGGTACAAGAAAGCCAGACAAGAGTGATAGTATTTGTGCTGTGTCAGCAAGTTTCCAGGATTTGCCAACATTTTTTGTTGCTGTTTTAAGAATGAATGAGAGATGCAAAACTGCAGGAGGACAAGCTAGCTGGGATWCTCCTCGCTGCCTCCTCCCTCTCCCAACTTACAGAAGGTCTGTTGGAAGTGTGTWAGCGTTGGTGCCTCTGGAGCAACGTTGTAGAAATGGGTCTTCAAAGCCCCGCTCACGAGGAGATTGTAGGCAAGGTCTGTTATGTTAATGCCCACAATAGCAAAAGAGTAGCTGTAAGAGAAGAGCAGCAACATTTACAGGTTGTTTGACTTGTTTTCAGCACACGAGAAAAAGCATTGATGATACTGTAGGTATAACTGAAGTGATGCATTAATTCTCTCACTTCTGATAAAATTCCAAAAGGGCAGTAGGGAAAGGGGTGGAAAACATGGCAAAACATTTATCCCATCTCCTTACTATGCTAGTCATAGCCTGTGAAGCAACTAGTCACACTGAGAACAGGAGTCCTCTTACTATGCCAGTCATTTTCTTCCCAAAGGAAATTAGATAATATGGGCAAAAAAAATAGGTAAGAACCTCTATCAAAGCATGTTGAAAACAGAAAAAAAAAGTACAGAGTCATGGAGCAAAATAGTGGCCTGTTAAGAGGATGTATTAACATAGAAAAAAGTTTAGGTACAACAAAAAGAAATCAGAAGTTATTTCTGAATTCATGAGCCTGTTGCATAGAAGACAATGATGGAAAAGGGCAAGTACTCTCTGACAAACAGTCATTTGTCAAGGCAACACGCAGGTCCCACRCTGACATTTAGAGACAGAAGTAAATATGTTATGTAGTGTTTTAATTTTTTTTTAAACAGTTATAATCTATGGATATTTTCCAGTTATAACAACTAAGCAAATGGAAACTTTTTTCTTTTTTAAAAGACCTTGGACATAACACAGAGAAAGCTTCTCCTTACTACAAGACTTCCTCCTATTACTACTTAAAATGACATTTTTCCTATAAACCTAGTTATATGTCTATTTTCAAACACAGTATAAAGTATGTACACTGAAATTTCCTTAAAAATATAACTAGGAAACACTTCCACTCACCTCATCTATGTATAATGTTATCAATAAACAGTTTTATTTGTGGCAGCTTTAAAAAGATGAATTTAAACTTACCCTATTGCCTTATCAAACTTTTTCTTCTCCCATTCAGCTTTACTGAATTGGCTGGAGAGAGAAGAGAGAGTCATTCAGATATGGCCATGAGTTGCTAAATATTTCCTTTTAATTTTTTTTACACTATAATATTAACTGGACACAGACCTTATTTTTTGCCCCATTGGCATGACATTTTACTCTGCTTCTTACTGAATGGACTGGCATAAAAAGCTTGAAAGGGGAGACTTWCCTCCTCTGTGGCAACCCTGATGAAATTCCTCATCATTTACTAAGTTTGTGACTACAAAGTTCTCAATAAAAGTCAGTATTTTTCTATGCTGACCACGAAGATGATCAATCTCAGTTAAATACAAGCTACAGAAAGTACTTAGAATATGAGGTTTCTTTTAATTCATTGAAGAGGATTTTAGCCTTTTGCATTCTCCAGGATGGATGTCACATTAATCACTGGAGACATGAGTCACTTGACACAAACATGAAAAACAGTCCTYCAACGGGAAGTTTATATGTCCAATCAATTGGAGGACACTACAGGAAAAAATAAAGGAACAATCCATACTATTCAGCGCAATAAAGTGTAGCTTTCCAAGGACAGAGAAGGTACCCCTCCTAAAGCAGAATTAATTATGCAACCATTTAGTTAAGTTCACTTTAGATAAGTGAAACTATCGTTGAACAGAAAGTTAAAATAGCTGTGTGATACAACCATCAGTCTAATGTAATTCCAGTCAATAGTGTTTAACTGTAGCTACTTGCATGGAATATGTTGAACAGAAGTCAGTGGCTGCATTTACCCCAGCTAAAAGCAGATAGGAACTGACCCTGAGCTGATCCTGCAGGAATTTTGCTTAAATAAGGTCTAAGCAGTCATTGCAGGTTTAAGACCCCAAATCACAGACAGCTCTATATGAGCACATAATTCTTATGCCATACTTGAGTAACCATAAATATATATTTACACTAAAAATGGTTAACATTATGCAAAGATGCTATTTCACAAACTGTTTTAATTATTAGAGATGCTTGGAGGTTCACACACATCCTCACCTGAATGTAAATATAGACCTTTATATCTCAAATGAGTTAGTCAATGAGAATGTCATATATACTGATTCTCCAAAATCCTTGCCATCTTGGTAAGCTATGGCCTAACATCGATTAAAAACAAACCAACCAACCCCCAATCCCTCCCCTCAAGTCCAACCTCCTCTCCTGCAAAAACCAAAAACCCCACAAAACAAACAACCCTTCCCCCCAACACCCAAACACACCGCACAAACACGTGTTTAATAATAAGCAGCACAGCACATTTGGGACATGGACAAGGAATACAGCTCTACAGAAATAGGAACTACATTGCTCATTATCACATCAGAAGCCTGAAGTGCTGCTAAGCAACCACACAGACAAAAACCCCCACGAAGGCATCGCTAGCAGCACCTATCTTCTGCTGAACTCTCTTAAAAGAGATAGAAATTGCACATGCTCATACACAGCACTCCAGAACAGTCCTTGGTAATCAAACATGTAAATGAAGAACAACTAATGGGGTACCCTGCCTCACAGCCACATCACTGAATATTCAGTGTACTCATTGTTAAAGAAAGAAGTTTAAAAAAAAAATAGAAAACAGAGTAGTTCAGTCTGCCATGCAAGTTTTAAACATTTAATGAAATTTCTTTGCAATTTTCCAAATACAGTTTAAGAGTGGTGAAATCCCTGTTCATTAGCATATATTAATACAAATTATGCTATGGGCAACACAGACCAGCGGGGGCTGCTTGCAGGAAGAGGGTGACTGCTCTAATACTTAAAGGAAACCCCAGGCAAGAATAAACCTGAGGACTAAGTCTTACGCTCAGTCTCTTGGGCTCACATTCACCCCCAAGTCCTCCAAGTGTTTTTTGTTGCAGAATTACCACAGGGAACTCAGCTACAAAACACTGAGATCAAATACTTGGCAGTATTTAGACATGGACCTGCAGAACTAATACCCAACACAAGCAGCAGAAGGGAAAATCTCTTCCAAGGCACCTGATTACTATGGCACTGGTAAAGAGGTAGACCCATGCCAGTTACAGAATGAACTTCCTATAGTATAGTTTACAATACAAGTGTTTGACTTCTTAAAGGTCCCTGTTATTGATCTCTCAGAAGAGAGGTGACTGGAGTAGATAGATTAGACCAACCATTAGCCATGGTAGCCAAAGTGAACAGAATTAGCAGGGTTCTTCAGAGGAGGTAACTTAAAAGCCATCTATGGGAAGAATTCATCAAGTCAGGGTTACAGCTGCTTTGACTTTACTCTCACAGCACAGCCTTTTTCTACAAGAAAGTAAAGATTACCAAGTAGCTGTTACCAGATGAGTCTAAAATATGGTGCTATCCCAAGCATGGCTGATCTTACTCTTTACAGATTATCATATTAACATACATCCAGTGTTGCGCCATCAGCTCATTTGGAGCACTGCAGTGTTTAGAGAAAAGAATGTGGAACTTCTGAGGGCGTTGCRAAGATTTTCAGATTGTAATACGTCACATTGCAGTATGGTTTGATCTTTATTTACATGTAGAGTCTCACAAAACTAAGAGAAAAGAAAAAAAATACCTTATTTCCTTCTTAGTGACTTCCCTTCATTGTGAAAAGACAAAAAGAATTAAAAGAAAAGTAAATAAAAGCTAAAAAAMCTTGAAATTAGAAGTTAAAATAGTTAACACCAAATGATTCAGTATACAAGCTTGCCTCATGGARCTGATCAGCTTTCAGGATCAATACTTAGAAACAGACAGCATGTGGCTATGCCCAAGCATATGCCCAATAAAATAAAACAGCCCCCCCTAAAACATCAGCCCACACAGCATTATCCAGTTAGCTTTTTTTCTACCCTTAAGCAGTACCTGTATTTAGGCTGAAGAGAATCAGAAAGAACCTGCTGAGCTATTCCAGTGTCCCGTTCAGCAAAATACCTGCAGACACATATATGTGGGGGTCACTTGTTAAAGATCAACAACAAAATCGTTCTCGGGTCCTAATGAGCTATCCACAAACACCATGTCCAGCCCTTTAAAAGGCCACTAAACTTGTTAGGCAATATGAACATCATTTAACACATTAAATGCTTTACACTAGCCCCTCCAAAATKAAAGATAAAAGCAGCCCAGGCTCAAGTTAGGAGTAACTTGTCCTATAACTTGTTGATGGATGTGTGCTACCATCTCCCCTTCTAAATTGGCGGCAGAAGACTGGTTTCTTATTACTAGAGTACATTGGCTACTGAGCTCAAGTTAAAGCAGTTCAGACTGCTCAGTTGGGCAGATTTGCAAACCAAACCAAATCATCACAGACTAAAAATAAGTCATAGGAACTTGTCTCTGTGAAAGTTTAAAACAGTCAAGAGCCCAAATCCTTAATTGACTCTCTGCATATTGCTTTATAGCAAAGCTTAATTAAATTCTATATCCTTCAATCTGTAAAAGTAGAAAATACCCCCTTCCCGCCCCATTGGGAGAAGTTATTTTACTAAATGTTTCTAAAGTTACGTAATTATTTGTAGTAGATACAATAGCTGGAAGAAAGAGCAGATCGTAGAAATCAATCTATTCCTAAATCACCAGTCACAAATGTAATACTAAATAACTGGTGTATGCGAGACAGAACATAATAGTTATTTAAACTCACTGCTTAGTTTTGAGCATTGAAATAAACTGAGGGATTAGTTCAACTCCTGAAGTCTACTATCAGTAGCTTCATTTCATACATTTTGTCTAAGAATTCAGAATGAAACGTCAAAAGAAAAAAGCAAAGCAGTAATATAATCCTCCCACCTGTACACTTTTAGGGTATTTTGTTTAGACAGCTAAATATTGGTGAAAATATACTTGTCTTTACTTGTGGGAAGAGTGTGCTAACTTTCACAGAACAGCTAAAAAGGGCTTAGCAAGCTGTATAACCTAGTTATATGAGGAGTACTGAAAAACATACCCCCAGAAGAATAACAAATGCAATGGAAAATATGTCTCTTCTTTGGCTCCTCCCYTGCTTCCCTCCTCCCCCTCTCCTTTTTTTTTTTAATATAGAGTCCCCACTGTTTAGAATTTAGGCCTATAGACTGGTTGAAAAGAATCCATACATAATGTTGCTTCTTACAATATCAGACACAAGCACGTCTATGGAGAGATATACTTACACCAAGTTATACAAGCCCAGGAGACCCATCCCTCTAAAGTCTGTTTTAGGATCATCACCTTGGAAACCAATTTCACACCACTGCTTCGAAATCCGAGCTTTCAATGGCGAATTGGGCTTCAAACATTTCCACAACTAGGAAAATTACAGATAAAATATAATTAAACTTCACACGTTAATATGACCTTCTTCTTAGAAATCCTAAGTTGTCATGTCATATAATTACATTGTTATTCCAGCATCCATCATACATGAATAAATGCAATTCCTGGGGGTGGAGGAGATCCAAAACCACTYGAATGTTGCAGATGTTCCAGCGACAGCCCTAAGGCTCTTCTSACCTTAACTACAACTGTTGCAGAGTTTTGCACAAGGACTTGTTCATGCTTTGTGCATCRGACTAGAATCTGCCTCCACAAGCACCATATCAGAAATAGGCCGGACTTTTGCAGTAAATCACTGACAGGGTGGCAGGCAATCAGCCTTTAATTCTCTTGGGCTCTTCAGCAATCTTTTCTGTGGCATCTTTTGCAAGTCTCTAGAATGGATTACAAATAGGGAGTGCTGACTTGGCTATTGTAGTGATGAAAAGCAAATCAGGGAACAAAACAAGAAAAATAGCCATMTAAAACATGAAGGTGGAACATTCTATTCCAAGTAAGGAGTGAATCATTCATTGATCTTACAGCAACAATAGGGAAAAAGAATAGMTCTAACAAGCCAGATCTTCAGCTGGAATGAATCTACTTAACTGCACTGGCTCAGTAGTTTTAGTTGTTTAAAGATCATGTTGTTAAGCAGCTAAAAGCAGCCTGGACTATCATATTTGGGAAACACATATCTACCTGCATACACACACACCACAGCACAAACTCCCCCTTTCTAAAGGGGAACAAGTAATCAGGTGCTCCTCACRCATTGGTGACTTTGAGTATCAGCAAGCCACTCAAGTCAAAACAGACACTTGTGAGAAAAAAACCCACACACCCTACCAGGGGAAAACCACCTATATTAATACTTTACATGAACATCCCAGAAACTGTATTAAAGTAATTAATTTAGAGAGGCTAAAACTTTTAAATATTTTATCCTTAAGAAGCTCCATAAAGCATTGTGTATTAAATGACATTTGCTATTTCTTTCTTACTCACCCCTTAACAGCAAGTACAGTGTTATTCATCAGGTCAATCACATTAAACTAGTCTTTATCTCTTTCATAAAAACACTCTCCTGATAAAACTAGGTGATAAACATTAAGAATATGAGTTTTCCCTTGCAGAGATCACCTAGCAGAATATCTAGAAAAAATGAAAGTCAGCCAGCCTATTCTTCTCCATACTAATCTAGCATGCCCTAGAAACCAAATCAAATCCCTAGACAAGTCCGTTTTACATAACAATTTGCAAAAGCAAGAACTGTGCTGTAAGCAAGTGCCTAACACACAGATTATATCAGAGGCAGATGAAGATATTGCTATCCTTTTTCAGCATTAAGAATCTTACTGTGCAAGCTGAACTCCCCTCAAAAAACACCCCCACACTCAGTTTGCCTCTTGCTTTCCTTCTCATTCAGCGATGCTTTTAAAGGTCTTGTGCAATTATACAACCCAAGTACCATTTTCAGGAATGTTTAGGGAACTGGATTGCTCAGAGAGCAGCATCAGGGAGAGGATGCCAAGGCAACGCTGTCATCCCCTGTTGCCATGTCACCTGCAGGTCCCCTCCTCCACCTGCTCTACAGATGATGCAGGAAATTCMTTGGGAATCCTTTCCTGTAGCCAAGAGCTCACAGGAGAGCAGCAGCCACTAACCTCATTTCCAGGGTGCAAAAATCCTACATGGATTGTCCTTTGATTACAAACATCCTCACTAGGCAAAATCTGACTGTCCTTTTATTTAAGCTCCCCTCTAACCTTCTAGTTTTGCTTTTTGGCTGCACAGGGGCAGGAATCCAGCAGGATGAGTCTGTTAGCTCCTGTTTGGAGCTTAGATTTGCTCCGGCAGCAGCCCTGGACCACAGCATCCCCATCAAGACTCCTGCATCCCCACAGAGCCATCAGCAGTCAGGGGGATCAAGGCACTCTTGGTGGATGCTAGTGCCTTAGATAAGGAGATCTACAAGTCCCAAAATGCAGAACTTTGTATCAATACTACAGCGTGCTGGGATGGTCTGAAGAGATGTAGTGTTAGATTTCTTTGGAGAGAGAAGAAAAAGGAAGTAGAGACCTGACAACAATTATTCTAGCCATGCTTGTAGCAATTCTAGGCACATACATAYACACACACATCCCTCTAGGTACTTACAGGTCCTCTTTTACCACTTGAGACACCAGTTTTAATAATTATTTGCATCAGTATGAGGTGTATATAAAGGGCTCAGTGGAATTTTTAGAAACATCTGYTAGCACAAATAGAACAAAAAATTGCCACTACAGCACTATAACTTGTGTAAGGTGCTATGCTGCAAGTCTTACTGTGGAACACAGCATCATCACATGCTGTAAAAACAAACTGTGGATGAATAGGATGGAAGCATTTAAARTTTTTAGTATTTATGTGAGGAAAATAATAAATACCAGGTTTTGTTATTATAAGACCCTAAAAAATTCTGCAAGAGTGCAGTCTTTTTAGACAGGCTGATATATTACTACCTATTTAATGCTTCCAGACATTCTTCTGAGGCATCTTGTACTAGTTCTGGTTAGAAAAGCAGTCAGAAGAAATGTGAAGACTTGTTATTAGACCATTTTCCATCTCTTTTRCTCCGTTCTCAGCTTCTTTTTAAGGGAGCTCTCTATTTGTCTCCTTGTTTGCACTTTCCAGGTCTTGTCCAAAAATACTGCCATTTGGACACATCAACAATGCCTTCAGAAATACTAGAAGGCAAGGAAGAATTAAAATAGAAAAACACTCTTATCTTCAAGAAAGGCTTTCTGAAGTGGGATGTAATGCATTTTCCCAGATCACATCCCATAGAGCAGTRAGAGGTAGATGTCCAGCACCTCCACCTCGTCCAACCAACAAGCTTTATGTGGCATGCATTYCTCAGCCATGGAGCAAGCCACTTGCTTGGCAGGTATGGCACCCACACTACCTTCATTCTACATAGGCTAATCTTAAAACAGATAGGCAATGGGGGAAGGTGGAAATATCTGAACATTTTAAGAGGCTTATAAAGCAGACTGGCAGGGTTGGYAAGTGTAGGCGACTCCCCCTGAGTCTTCCATAGGCTCCTACCTTCAGAAGCATTTCTTCATGTTGTGGATTCTCTGAATCATAGGGCTCTCTGCGCAGCTTTTCAACCTCTGCAACCAGGTTTCTGTAGCCCACAATCTGCAGCAGGCAGGCCTGAAGGGACACCCCCAGCCTAAGGTGGTTGGAAGAGGAAGAGAATCAACTCAACCATCTGCAGCTGTGCAACATCACTGCTGTGCTGCTGTGCACATACCCATTCAATTCACAGGAGTAATGCTTCAACAATGAATAGCGTGACAGTATAGTTACTATAAGAGACTTTCCAAAGATCAATATTGCATTAAACATGGTCTTGTGAGTTGTGCAGTCTTACTGCTTAGTAACTTTTTTGAGAAAATAGTTCTGGATTTCTCTTCCCCCCCCACTCCCCGAAGTGAATTCTTTCACTTAAAGGTTTAATATGAGGCTACACAGAAACTCTGGACCTCACTGATTTTTTTTCCCCCTTATTCAAATGGCAGTTTCTCAAACAAAAYCTTGGGATTAGAACTAAAAGATAAAGCTCTCCATGTTGTTTCCATGTCACAAAGCCCATGCAAAGAAGACAAAAACTTGCAGCAATATAGTTCACACATCTGATATTTTGGGGGGAGGGTGCCTCATATGCAAAGAATTCAAATAATGACTCTTGCCAKTATAATGCAGATCAACTTTTAAAATCCCTAATGCATCACTATAAAATCTACCACGTGGCTTCTAATGCTTTAAGTCACTGACTTAGTCTGTTTTAGGTTAAGATTTTCTATTATTAAATACAAGTTAGATCGCATGCAACTGCAAAGTTTTTTGCTTCCAATACAAATTCCTAGGAATATCTGAGTATTTACAGAATACTGTTTTTAAACTTTTAATGTCTGAAAATACCAGAACGCCTACTCAGATTTCTGAGACCACAGGTAGATCTTTATTCTCATTACTCTGTGGAACCCACATATGCACTGATATTAACCTGCCCAGATGCTTCATCTGTTTTGCTTCATATACTCAAATATTTTGTTCATTCTATAATACTGTTAAGCTTTCTGATCCAAAGGATTCTCACTGCTTCTCTTTTGAGATTAATCCACAGAATAAGATATAACATARGGCCATTTTTTTTCTTGCTGTAATTTCATGTTTTTTTGTGGCTAGAACCCTTTTARAATATCTTAAGCAGTGTCTTCCTATTTTGGTGTTCACTTGCTTCACTTGTTACACCCTGCAGTTTTACAGAAAGGTTGCATTAAAAAGAAAGTTGAAATGCCTGACAATGCCAAACCTCAGTCACCATGTTTTTAATTATACACAGTAACCTCCAAGTACTTTAGAGTAGAACACCACAGGCAGTGGGGAAAAAAAGGGCAATTAAATACAAAAAATACGTTCTAAACTGTAGAACATATGCATAAAAGTTACCTGTGCAGTATCAAAAACTAATTCAGAAGCCCATAAAATGTTTTTGCATAGAAAAAAAAATTTCCTCCTCCATTTTTCCATTAACCCTTTGCTCACTTCTCTCCTCCCTAGAGGTGCCAGGCTGGGGAATGGAGTGAGCAGCCGTGGCCCCACATCTCCTTCCTGCCATCTCTGCAGAGCGTGGGCCAGCACACCCACCCCACACAGCTCAGATGCTCACAGAGATGGAGATGAGTCTGGAATTGCAGCATTTCATAGCCTCCTTATGTAGTTAATGGGACCATACATGTCACCCCCTGCTTATTCACCCTACTTTCTCCCTCTGCTGAATATWCCTAGTATTATCCCTCTACTGGGTATGCACATAGCTATCTTTACATAGACAAGGTGAAACTCTTCCAATACTTCCTTCTCTGCAGGTCACCACAACCCATAGCCTGAGGGAACAGCAGGCTAGTTCAGAGAAAACATCCTCAGGATGCTAGTTTAGCTTTGCAGAGATGCTACATTAACAAAAATGACTGCATACATATTCACAGAAGCATATATAGCAATATACATGTCCCTTTGTCCTTATCCTGGGAGATTAAGGCTCTCTTACACAAGGAACAGTCAGCATGTTCGAAAAAGACAGTCAGATGTGGGTTTTCTGATATTTAAATGCAGACAGACCAATGTATTTTGGTTAATTCTAACTAAAGAAATAGCTGATCTGCTTTAATTCAATTTTCTCCCTAAAAGTTTACTATAGAAATAAGTGCCCCACATGGGAAACTATGGGAAACTTCAGCCCCCATGATTAAAGATTCACAGATTTATAATCAATTGGAAAATAGAAGCCATTTAGCAGCAAAATTTGTTGCTGTGCATTCAGTAGCACCCAACTCTTGCCTCAAATTTGGCAAGATATCACTACTTACTCTTGAAATGCGAGCTTTTAAATTAAAAGGTTTGCTGTTAATCACTTCACATTYTCTTAATGCTACAAGATCATACTGGTTTCACCATGTTGTATTGCTTACTCTTGTTTGGATAATTCAAAGGGGTTTTAAAGTACAAACTAATACATGGCTTCCATTAGCTCTGACGTGACAATTTCTTCCCTTCCCAATACACTGTGGCCTTGATAAGAAGCTATGAGTTTCACTACTATGACCACTTGCATTGGTGGTATTTCATCCCTTGGGAAATTACCCCCATAAATCAATGTACCAACAATGTACAGCAATAGGACAGCAAATTCAGGAAGCAACTAAACAGATTCAGGACTTGATGCTTATTATTGTCACKATAAGAGATAATTCATTTTTCTATCAGCTTTCTAGCAGCAAAGCTTAACTTATGGTTTTATACTGAGAGGCAATATTCATCCTCAAATTKTGTACCAAAATAGCTATGGAAAACCCATTCTCCACGGAGCAAGGCACTGTAGAAATCAATAATTCAGATTTGTCTCATAGAGGAGTCGCCAACTTACTGTGGGTTTATATCYGGATTAATCCTTTTCAGCTCCATGATGTCATCTATAGTTTTTTCAATAGCATCAGGGTGAACACTTACTGAAGTTTGCAGCCGCTAAAAGAGAGGTTTTAAACATACATTAGTTCTTATGGAAATATTTTCAATATAAGTTAACAATAGCAAACACTGAAAAGCTTCTGAAAGCTTCCTGAGAGCTTCTACGTTAATCACTCAAGAAAGCCAACTCACTGTATATGGATCTTCCAAATTTTATTCAATACAATCTCCCTACATGAGAATTCAAATTACTTTTCTGTTCCCAAACAATTTTCAATGTATTTCTATGGCAACTTCCAGTGAAGATCATCTGCATTGAGCCTTTGGTCAAGAAAAGAGCTTCAGACCGGCTATTCGGTTACACTGAAGTTACTGGCCTTCATTTGGCATACACTCCAGACACTGTAGGAACACAGCAGGACATTTTCCTTCTTGCAAGTTACTGCCATGTAATGATGATCCTGGAAGCTTGGTATTCAAAAAACCAAAAACAAACAAACAAAACCCAGCACCAAACACACACAAACAAAATACAAAAAACAACACCACCACATAAACGCAAAAAAGCCTTCAAAGATGATAAAAGTAAAGTTTCCTGATGCTGTATCAAAACTAAATGAGTTGAGCTAAAAGCCAAATTTGGAATGCTGAACTATTATTTTGGCTYCTATTATTTTTGCTCCTACTGACGCAAGCCTTCCAACAACATTCATTCTCATGCCAAAGCATGAAATCAATAGTACCTTTCAGTCATTCATACTATTTACTGCTTAATTTACGGGTACTTTGTTTCTGATTAGTGAGAAACATTTAGGTGGACACAACCAGCACTGAAAGGGAGTGAATCAGCAGTCAAAGGGAGAGGCTATTTTTTATTAATGCAAGCAAGAGAAAGGCAGAGAAAAGTCATTTTCACTCTCTAGGTATTGCTGTCTTCACCAACATTATCCATGCTTTAAGGGCAGGGGGAACAGGGCTTATGTGACTGACTTCAGATAACAGAAAGACTGCAATAGGATTGGGAATTAAGACAAAATCACTCCTATTTGCCATGGCCCRTGTCCCCTTGATCCCATCAGTGCCCACCATGTGCCAAACCCTGGAGGACAGGGAACACTCCCTAATTCTGCAAGACCTCCTGTTAGCACAGTCACTGAACTGTCCTTGGTAGAAAGGGCACCTTAGTAGGTGCCCTTTCATGTGAGGTTTGACCGAACTTTAAAGTGATTTTTTAGAGTGAGCACACAGCAGACTGAACACCACAGATGTCACAGGGGGRAAAAAAACAAGTGAAATATGAGGTATTTAACTCACCTTACTTTTCGAGCCCTTCAGTGATGCCTCTGTTAAAAGGTCGAAAGCATTGTGTCAGACACATTAAATTTTTACTGAATTCGCTTAACACTATTTTTTTTTTTAAAGTGAAGTCACCATATTATTAGCACAGGCAAAAAAAAATGCAGAGGCATGCAAAGACCTGAGTATTTTGCAGTTACCTATTTTCATAGTTCTGGCAGCTCCAGGCTTGGTATTGTAACAGATCCTTTGCAACTCACATCGTCCCGTGAGCTTCCTGACCACGAATTTCAGACAGCGCCACAAGCACTTACAGTAGAAGTACAGGCAGACCTGCACAAACATCCTGCCAGAAAGAAGGGAAGCCTGAAAATAAGAGACTTGAGCAGAGGTTGTTTTGACAATGCCACCCTCCTGCCCCAAACAGAAAACATTCCCTTTCTCTAATTCCCATTGCCTAATGATATCCTTAAAGCAAATGCAGCATTCACATAGCTAAACTTTATTCTGATAAGCATTGTCATGCTTTTCAATCATATCCAGTAAAATGCCACATATAAAAAGTCAGGGCTAGAAACACAAAATATATCAAATCGGGAGTTTTGAAAAAAGTATTTCTAGAGAGGGAACAAAAGCCTTATAATAATGGGCTACAGGCCTGTTGCTAATGCTTTGAGAAACAGGTCTGCGAAAGAAGAAAGTCCAGATCATCTAGTAATGGCAGCTGTAGAGGATCTGCAGAGTCACCATGCTCCACTTTTCCAGGCTTCACCTTGACACTCAGCTCTTCCAAACAAAGCGGTGCTTATCCTGACAAACACAAATCCCAACACCAACCYCAGATCCTAAGAACTGAATAGTTCTTCCCAACTAAGGAAAACACAGCTCTTCCCTTAAACAAGGGCCCAGTACCTGTTTAGGGGAAAGCCAGCTCTTCCCTGGTCCAACCTAAGAACTAATTCTGTTCTAAACGATGCTGTATTAGAGATCTCCTTAGGTCCTGCCCAGCCTGGACTAATGCTGAGAAAGCCCAGGAATGCCACACACCTAAACATGTTCAATTTTGAAGCTCGTCAGTGTTGCAGCTGCCCACACCACATGCTACCCCAAATACCTATCACATCCCAAACAGATTCAAGGGCTTTAACTCATTGATGGCACCAAGACAAGAGATTGTGCAAGAAGCATCAAGAGCTCTTGAGGCCAAAACCACATCTCAGAATTACAAAGGTAAATTACAAAGATCCCACGGACCTGATAAGAACATCAGAACAACTTTGATTCATGAACTTCTTAATTAATTGTCAAAAATAGCTTAGCCCATTGTGTATAGCCCATTGTGTATATTACATGCATATCATACTAATTTGTTGACCTTTTTTGCATGTTGCTGACACTTGCAAAGAAAATGTTTGTTAAGCAACTCCATATTATCATTTTTATGGAAATTCACTTGTTATTCTGAAATACCGCATGTTAGATATTCAAATCAGAGTAACTGTAGTAMCGCCAGAAGAGCTCCATTACTTCATAAACAGTCCCAAAAGGTATGTTTGCAACATGATATTCGGGAAAAGGAAGATAAGCAATGTTAATGTCCACACATTAATTTCATCCGCATTACCTAGCTTTAGCTTAATCACTTTTTGAAGGGGAATTTCACTAAGGAAGTAGCATCTAAAGGGAGAGCATCCACACAAGGATTTAACAGGTTTTCAAAGTGCCCATCCTATCTTCACACTTCTASTTAATTTGCTTAACATTCCTGAACTCCTGCATGTCCCCTTTGTCCTTATGGGACAGGAAGCTTCTATTTTAAATAGAAAGTGAAACCGAAAAATAAGGATTCACTCTCACATCTGAATCAAATTTAACTTGGATCAAATCTTACACAGGCAAATAAATTCCAGGYGCTGACAGCTGGAGTTTCTTTCCCATCCCATCATGCTAGAACACGTCACCATAAGGAATTTGCACAAGCTTTAAAACAGGCAATCAACTGCAGTATTAAGAACAAGATCAACTATCAGGAGGTAATTCTGTCATCAGTCAAGCAGCCATTCTTTATGTCTTCCAAAAGGCAGAAATTCCTCATAGGAGCTAACTACCTTAAATAGTGGAGAAAAAAARAACAAAAGAAAACAAAAAACCCCACACAACACAGGCTAATATGGGGTATTTCAGCTTTTACGGTAGAATTCTGRTATTAAACACAACAAAAATCAACAATGAAACACAACAAAATCAACAAAGACCCAGCATCCAAAGACTCAAAATACAACTTCTAACAACCCCTCTGCCTCCTCCGTACGTTCCAGCTCCTTACTCACAAGAAAGGTCTAAAAAAGTACACAGGAAAGGTTAATGCCAAACTAGAATCCGGAGTGTTAGGAAATAACTCTGAGTTTATCACATGTTTTTCAAACACATCCATTTATTCCCAAAGGTTAGGCCATTACTAGATCAATTTGATACCCAGAAAGTTCATTTATATAAAAAGAAGGGAGGAAAGACTCACTTAACCTCACAGTGAGGTTTCAGCTGAAAAGGTTTTCTTCTAGTGAAGAAAACTGCTCCTACCCCCATCACAATTCCCTGTAGAGAGTTCATGCCTGCAGTTAACAGACTTCAAGACTGAAACCTCACTATCCATTCTGTTACACAGAACCTGGTTGCTTACCAAGTCATGAGACACAGATAAAACTCCAGCTTAAAATTCAAGTGCCTTGGAATTATATTCTGTTCCTGTCTTTAGGTCCAAATGATAACTTTGCAGATAAAAGAAAAAAGCTAAATAGCATCTGGTCTTCAACAGTTGCGATAACACTCACCACTAAAGTTTTGCTTCAGCTATTGTTCACAAAAAGTGACTAGTAAAAATATCTACCAAAAACAGTCACTACAACACAGAGAAACACGAGATATGAGTCACCAAAATATACTTAGCAAACTATAACTAATAAAGCAGAGAAGCACTAATTTTGACTAGCAGCTTAGAAAAGGAGGTTTGCCTCTGTGGATACCTGTAAATTTCAACTACTCATCCATCTTAAGCTTATGACAGTTGAAGTCTTCTGCTTATAACATGAATGGTATAAAGTTTTTTTGCAAGTTTGTTTTCAAAAGGGTTGCTCTTTAGAAAAGGGAATTCTTGCTTGCAGAAATCCTGTAATAAAAGCATACTGGTGATTATATAAGATTTAAATAAGGTTTTATTTTAGTAGCTATGCGTTTCAGTTCACCTGATAGAAATAAATCACTGCATATCATTAAAATGAACCCTTACGGATGGTGCTTGAAAAACATGTACCTGATTATGGTAGAGTAACATAAACTTCTAGTTTGTTTTAGGATTCCAAACGTTCTTCCCATCAGACCTCTTCAATAATATTGGCTTTTTTCCTGATTGTTTTAAAAATTTTCTTGGCACAGAAAATGGAGGGTGCTTCACTASTGATTTGTACAGTCATGCAGCTTTTAAGAGCGAGTGAACAACACCACTTCATTTCCTTGGACGAGGTTTAAGAACAGAAGTACAACAAATTAAAAGGTTACTAAGGCACTTGCATGTAACACAGGAAGGAGCTTGTATTAGGACAGGGAAGAGCAGGTACAACAGTACAGATCTGCAGACTTGCGTTTCCGCACACAGTGTGTATTACAAGAGCATCTACTAGCATTTATTCAGAAAAAAACCCAAAATATCATAAGTACTTTATAACATTCCTAATTAACAGAGTTCCCCTGATGAGGGTGCTGCATGGGTGCAGACACAGGCACCCAACCTCCCTCTGCGAACTTGCACTTGCAAACTTCCAAGCGTTGGTAGTAAGCACTCAAGCATAGGAAGCAAACTCCTAGTYCCAGAGAAATGCCAGGATTTTGTTGCCCAAGTAGTAAATACGTCCTTGCTTGCAAGTCTAGAAAAGCCTTGTGAAAATACTATTTAAGGCTAAAAACATATGACTACAGCAGCTTAAAGATACACAGAAACTTGATTCCCTTCTCCGCCCCCCACACACTTAGCTAAGGACAATTAAGGGTTGGTATATGCATTCATTTTTATATCTTTCTTCCTTGTCCYGCTTTCTAACTCTACATCTTCCTTGCTGTGGACTAACTCTAACTCTAACTCTACATCTTCTCTTCTAGTGGACTTCCTATCGTAAATCTTCTGCCACAAGCAGGTTTAGCCAAAAATGGAAATTTGGAGGTAGTACTTTGCCAGGCCTATGAGAAAAGCAGCAATACTGAAAAAAAAAAAAACCCACACACCCCAAAATGGCCACTGGCCTATGTGATCAATAATAGGGTTTGGCAGAGATTCGCAAGACCTCTTCCATAATAGAAGAGAGAAAGGAGGAAACAGGTCTTGCAAATTTGAGGGTCTCTGCAACACCCAGATCTACAGAGATCCCAAAGAACACTGAGCACCATTACTGCACTGCCATCCCCACAGCATGTGCTGCTGACTCAGATAAAGCCTAAGGCAGCAAAAAGCTGAGGTAATTCAGATACTTCTTTGCTTTTGTATGCAACATCAGAGTAAACATTATTTTCTTAATAAGGGGTCTCATGATGTGCTCTTTCCTAGCACAATTGTTGTTGGGGACACTATGGTGAGAATGGCAGACTGCAGTCATTTGAATTCATATTTCTGACAGCAAGACACATTTTCATTTTTATTCAAATGTTACTGACTTTAGCTGGTCTTGTGCAAACAAAAGCAAAGGAGATCAATAGGTTTCCAGARAAACCTGGGACAATTTCTAATGCTTCAGCAAAGGTCGTTCCTTTGGTAAAGGAATGCAAGGTGAAGGAATCCAAGATATACCTGCTAAAAATAGCAAGAAGTATRTATAATATATCTGGGATTATGTTGATATGAAGGGCAGTAGGGCTGAATTCTGTGCGCTTTGTTTTGGAAACTAACAACTCCAACAGTATTGCAATCTTAGTGTTTTTAGAGACAGTAACAGACGGAAGAAAGAGGTAGAATGAAGGAAAACTTAGAAATAGATGATCCAACACCATAAAACTCAATTTAGAGCTGGATCTACCTCTTCCCAAATTCACTGGATCTACATAAATATCTTTTTATTTCTTGTGAATCCCATTTTATGTATTATAGATGCAAGAAATTCATCTGAGTTTTTCTTTAGGGATGTATTCGACTCAGTGAGGAAAAACTCCCAGCCGTCATGAGACATATGGGTAACCCTTTTGCCTCTGCTTAGTGTTCACATCAACATTTCCTTACTGAGAATTCCAATTATGGCTTGAGAAGTCAAGGACATTCTAGTTGTGGATGAGAGCATGACCAAATAGGTGAGTAAGGAAGTGACACTACAGTATTAGAAACTAATTAAGCTGACTATCTCTGGCTTCTGTAATTATTTTGCATACAAGGTCAACCATGAAGTGCTGTACAAATCATCACTTCTGACATGCACATAAGCCTTAGCTCCTTTAAAATAAATAAAAGCATTCTGTGTCTTTTCATATATATGACAACCAAAATTTGAAATCCAATTTATCTATCCACTTAGACACAGAAGTCGCCATAGCAACTAAAGAACATGTAACAGTACTTCTGAAGAGAAGCATTCCACGCTTTCACATTTCTTGCTTTCAAATAACTTCATTTACRTTTTATCTGACGTGACTCCAGTAAGACAGAACTGCATGCTTAAAATCTGTTACGGCTTAGAGACTGTTTTCAGTAGATCAAGGGAAGGTGGCAAGTTTCTAAGATTTACTGAAGAAAAAAAACCAAGTATCTGATGCAGTTAAAATCTTAAATAACAATTTAGAGAAGATGAATAAGTGAAAATCAAAATGGAAGCATCACTGACAAATTTCTTAACATCTACTTACAAAAAAGTGTTGGAGGACTGAGTGTTTCAAAAATAAATACTTTTATTATTTCATAGAGTCCTGTGCAATACTGGGCATGTAGATTATTGGTCAGAAGTGCTGCCCTAGATCTGGGGATTTAGAATTATTCTAATTACTGGATTGACTGACATAAAGTTTCTTCCCACTGGAAAGCAGCCGCTAATGAAAATATATAGATGAAAAGGCAGTGATTAACTTCTGCTACATTATGGATGCCCAAGTCTAGAAGCAACATTCTTAAAAGAATCCGGACTTCCAACTAGTTACCCTTGGTGCAAACACAGGACACTTCCTTAGCTCTTCAGATATGCAGTACAGTCCAGCGAAAGGCAGGACCATGGAAAGTAATCTGGATTAGGACGGATTGCGTAAGCAACTTTATTACTTACTTAGAATTTTTTGATTTTATTCATTCAAGTGCTTTAGGATTTCAGTTTATTAAAGGCAGTCTTACTATCTGGCACCACAATATTCATCTTCTATTTTCTTAGTTACTCTCATTTAATGACTGAACTTTGCGCTAGGAAAGTACTACGAACTCCTTTTAAAGCAAACAAACCAAAAAACRGGAAAAAAAGAGAAGAAAGACAAAACACTTTTATACTTGTGATTTCCTTTTGCAGTTACAGTACAGATGCTGGCTGTCAAAGAGAAGTATCCTGTATTCTCCTTATGAAATACTTCTTGTAATATGTAGAGAAAGGACATTTTCAAGGGAGGGTACCCAAACTCTCCAAAATCCCAAACAGAAGCAATCCTCCCCTGCAAAGCCCTGAAAACTCTAGTAAAAGTATATTCCCTGTTGCACACTACATCTTTAAATGGATATTGGGTGCTGACCTGTTGTCTCATTATGAAGTAATTCATCACAACARAAACAGAAAATGCAACAGGAAATGCTATGCCACTGACCAACCCTCTTGTCATCGAGAGGCTTCTTTTGGACATGCATTTAAATGTGATGAAGAGTGACGGCCAATTTTGGCAAGGTCCCGGGTTGCTACTGTTGGTAACAAACACTGAGGACAGAATATATGTGTAATTGCTTTGTTTCCAGCTGTCATCCAAGTTGGGATGCTAAACATCCTTGCACCTGATCTCCCTGGAGCTCCTAACTTGATTGCTTTTTCACTCGCTAACCTACAACCACATTCAAACATATGCAGCAGAACTTAATGTCAGCAGTAAGTGCTCTTCAAGGCTGACTAAAGTTTATTTCTTAATCTCCCCAGATTTCTTATACACTCACAAAATACAACCAATTGAATAAATAATCAATTGCTTTTCAGAGGCTTAGCTACTCCAGAAAGGCTAATGCTATCAAGACTTCTCAAGGACTAAGATTCAACGTCTTCAGAAAATGAAAATAAGTGGAGGTAGTTTCCTCAGGAGAGCTACAAGAATTTAGCTATCCAGAACAGCAGTCTTTATCCAACATGAAAGAGGGAAAAAAAACAAAAAAAAAAAACCGCTAAGGAGTAAGCAGGTTAGAAGTTGTCAGTAGTTCTGCTTCTCCCCATGGAGGGMGCAGAACTATAGCTGTAAGCTTCTACTCTGTCTGCAGGTGTTGAGAGACCTGTGTATCCAGGACTCATGGAAGACATAGGACCACAGATCTCTATCATAGAGCTAGAGGGGCCAAGCATTCTCTCCTGACAGATGCCTTATCAGGTAAGGCTTAACCTTACCTCAATAAATCCCAGAAACCYTTTTTGTGTGTTGGCAAATAATTGCTTTCAACTTAAGATGTGCATATCCTGATTACAGAGTCTTTATGCATCTAGTTGATACATGAAGAGACAGACCCAGACTGGGGCTGTAATACTCCACAAACCACCTGGGGCAGCCAGGTCATTACAGATGATCAGCCTAAAGACAATGACACTAATATCCATAGCGCCTATAATAATTATTAAAAACAAAAAACCCACCACAATATAAGCAGACAAGGGGAAAAAAGTGACAGATGGTCTATACAGAAGCATATGTTTCAGCTCTCTTGAAGGGAAGATTTTTCCCCATCCAGGCATAACACGATTCCTCTGATTTGCACACAGATTAAGCTCTGTCTTTTTTGTTTCCAGGTTCTAGGGGTGCTAATCTCTCCACTGACTACAGACCAAAGCGGACATTAGCTTTCTACTCTTCTAGTCAGCCTCTGCAAGTCCCATTTACTACCCCTGTTTTGTAGGGAACAATTGCTAGTTACACACAGGAACAAATAATAGGTAAAAATTTCTCCCAAAATACAGCAACATTGCATATCATCTCCAAACATCTTTGCTTTCGTAAGCAGTGCTTTAAGAAAAGCCAGTGAAAAAGACAAAAAGCATTTTGTAAGCACTGTTCAACATGACTGTGTTTCTCCTATTTGCCTCTGACACATCAGACACCAGCGATTTGTGGCTGATTTGATAGATCACTGGCCAGATCCCATATGACACTTACWGCATTCCTTGTTCCCACGAAGAAATGAAAAGGAGATTTTCAATTAGATCTGTCATTTTGCAACAGCTTTAATTAAATGATGAATCTAGCAGAGTAGAAAGTAACCTAGTACGATCTAGTTCACACTTTCCATGTTACTGGTAACAGCTGAAACATTTAAGTCATTGCAGTATAAATATAATCATCAGCTAATTCTGTTGAGAAACATGCAGAAAGTTACCTTAGGAAGTGCTTCATGATGACAGTTTTGCTTGTGTTACTGGAACTGTAATAAATTGATCACTGGTAGCCTCTTCTTTGCAGAAGATAGCAGTACTGTAGAAATAGAATTAAGATGTATTTACTGACAGAGAAAAAGGGGCACTCTGCATTTTTGTGAGTCTGTAAGCTGACCTTGAAGCATCTCTCCCATACATTTTCTTAAGCATTGAAGAAATTTCATGCCAACAAAAAGACAAAAGACTCAGCGTGAGCTCATACTTTGGCCATCCACGTATCTCTCCAAAACCTATAGTTTCTTCCAGAAGCCCAAGTATTGTTACATGTTGGCTACTGGGGCAGCTTCTATACTTAAAAATATCAAAATGACACTTTGTGGTCTTGTACTAGCAGCAGTGGGCACCACATTTCTGAGAAACCAGCCCATTTGCACTATTAAAATATACTGAAAAGCACCGGAAGGCCTTCAAGATCTCACCACTTTTGTTATATAAAAGAAAGCTGCAAGTCTAAGAAACAGAAATTTAACCCTATTGTCTGTGGGATACATCAGCACTACTGAGAAAAAAATGWGAACTAGGGAGGGTAAAAAGATTTATTTCCTTTTTGTTACGTGCAAGTTTCACATTGTGCTCTTGCTTGCTGACAGAAGCAGAACAAGCATTTAAGTTTAGAGGGGAGAGAAACAACAACAAAAAAAAGCTCGCTTGTCAGATTACATTACATAAAAACACAACTTACTAAAAATATATAATCTCTGAACTGTGAGAGCGTCATTCACTGATATTGTTTTTGACTGGCTGAATCATGTTGCTGTCCCCTGAATACAGCTGTAATCGGTGCTAGCTGCAGTGGCACCTGCTCGCAAGGGCACCGGGATGCTCACATCAACCTCCGCTTCATTAACGAACACAGCAGACAGGCTCTCCCTTTTGATACGTCGCAGGCAGCAGYGAGCACACCGAGAATGGAAGACAAAACTGGAGGGGATGTAACCTGCTCCCCTTCTCCAGTCCAGTAATCTGCTGTTCAAAGATACAGTTTGTGAAAGATTCTCATGGCTGAGTCTCAGCTTTTTAGCATCAACCTAAATGAAAAACTTCACTGCAATATCTTGACCCATGAAGGCAGCTGTGTAAGGAACACACCAACCGAGTCAGAAGCTGTTAGAACAGCTCCTTCTAGGTGTTTTGGCCTCAGCCAAAACTCAGCTCCTTTCTGACTCTGATCAAAGAGTGAAAATGATACTTCAAAAAGAAGAAAAGCTGCAGTTCTTTGAATCTCAGAATCATCTCATCCAGGTATGGCACAACAGAAGCCTCAAAACAGCCTCCCTTCAAGAGCTATAATACAATACACTACAGTCTTTTTTTCTCCTCTTAATACTTATTATGAACTTTTATAGTTGAGATAATCATGGTAATGAACATTAGTGAACTCGTTGAAAGGGAAAAAAGAAAAAAATCAAGAGGCTTATGATTTGCCCTTAATTGGCATGTATACAACAGTTGATATCCATGGAGATCAAAAAAAAAAAAAAAAAATCAAGATTTAGCTTCCTGGAAAAACATTTTTTGTCAGAAAATAAATTTCACAACAGCATTTCCATAGCCAGAAAAGTATTCAGTGAAGGTCAGCCTGCTGGCTGCCAGCATGATGGAAGGAAACCTGCGTTTCAATGTTTACATGCTTTCACCCAGATGAAAGCACATCTGTATTTTTCACATCCAAAAAAAAAGGTCCAACTTCAAGCTAGTGCCACATTTTATCATTGAAGGAAACTGGAAGACAAAAATGCATAAACCCACTGCTGARCACATCTAGGAACCAAAGTTTAAGATTTGCTCTTTGAAATGACAAAGGACTCAATTTTTAAGCTCAAGTCTTTGCTCTGTCACCATCCACTTACAGCCTTAGATCTCCCATATGCCAGAGTTCTTCTACTTGAAGGAATTCATCCCATATCACAAATTAGCACCTCCCCCCCCACCATCAACCTTCTGTTTTTTCCCCCAAAAAGCTAGATGAGACTTTCCCATCCTAAGACTATCTGCAGCTTTTCTTGGGTAAGTAGCAATACAGTTGTATACAACAGAAACACAGTTCCAAGTCTGTATGAAAATATGAACAAGCTTTCCTTAAATGAAAATTAACTGTTTTGGAGACAAAGTAGTCAAGAATAAAGCCCTAAAAGTCACATCTTTCTCTGAAGCTGAGAGCTTAGCCCATCTTCAAGAGGGCTGCAGATATTGCTGCAGAGTTGAGGGAGAGTATTGTTTAACACTTGTATATAAGTTGATATATTTCCAGAGCAAAATATAGAACAAGGTAATTTTCTTCACAGTGCTTATTTGCAAGCAAAAGACTCTCCTGACCCGTTAAGGCCTACTGCAAGCATTAAAATCAGAATATAAACCTTTCAAAAGAAATGACAGCCATGTTAAGAGACAAGTCATTAGCACCATTAAGATAGGCAGGCAGAATAGAGGCTGATGTTTGACATTAGYAAAGTCCTAGCACCCAGTCTGAGGGCCCAGCAATACCCAAATATAATCAAATAACTGAAWTCAAATAACTGAATAATATCTGAATAAATCAAATAACGGAAGCATTGGAGATTAGAGTCAAGCAGAGCAAACTGGAGCACGTGCCCTGTGAGAAGCTGGGGAGCTGTGCCTCCTTCAGCCTGCAAAGACAGGTTTGAGGACAACCCAGAGCAGATTCCAGCACTAAGGGGAAGC